GAAGGTTGAGAACCACTGTTCTAGAGCATGAATCCTGCTAAAAAATGTGTTGTTATTATGAAAAAGAAAGAGAATGAATATTAGGGACAATCATCAGCCTTTGCCACAGTAGTCAACCAACAGTATCTACTCGAAGGGCTGCTATGGGATCAGTTCTATCCTAATTTCGATTCATTATTTGTGTGATTACTAATTAAATGTTTGTATTTCTAAATATACTGTAATCTCTTCTTATGAACAGTGACCTTATCTGTCCTGTACACATTCAATTACTAATTGTTGAAGGACCAACTAAATGAAAGAATGAATGAATAATCCTTATTTTCAGAAGTCTGGCAAAGTAGTCCCATACAGAGCTTTTCACTAGAGAATGTTCTTCCCTGGTCTGTATTTCCAAAGCCACGGTTTATGAGTCATGAATAATGAAACCAGCATCAGTCAAAGGGAAGCTTTGGTCCAGCAGAGATGAAGGGCCAAGAGAGAGCTAATGAGTCTGTAATGCAATTTTTTGCCAATAAAATGGTGCGATATTAAATTCAAGGCCATGAGATTTACACTATAAACCCAACACAATTAGAGAGTAAGAACCCACTTCCCCACCTGCTCCAGTTCTTCTAGTTTGAATCATTTTATGGACATAGATTTCCCACTGGCATTGTCTGGTGATGCCACGATGAGGATTTTGACAGGCATTTAATTTCTGGTTGTAGGGCCAATGGGGCCAAAAGAGACTCAGAACTGAGTGGAACATAGAATCGCTGAGTTCAGAAAACCACTGTCTGCAATGTTAAGAGTCACATACGAGGCCCCTTCTTCCCTGCCTCCTGCTATCAGCGTGGAGATAAGAGTCAGCATGTCCTGAGTGTTTCCTGTTCCACAGGCAACATCCTAATTAAGCACTTTAGTAGTTCTCAACCTTCTGGCCCTTTAAATACAGTTCCTCATGTTGTGACCCAACCATAAAATTATTTTCGTTGCTACTTCATAACTGTAATGTTGCTACTGTTACGAATCGTAATGGAAATATCTGATATGCAGGATGGTCTTAGGCGACCCCTGTGAAAGGGTCGTTCGACCGCCAAAGGGGTCGCGACCCACAGGTTGAGAACCGCTGCTTTACATGGTTTTCACTCATTCAGCCCTCACCACACAGAACAACCTTATGAGGTAGGTTCTATTTTTATCTCCATTCTGTAGATGCAGAAACTGAGGCATAGGCAGACTACACACTTTGTCCCAGGTCATACAGCCAGAAAGTGGCAAAGTTGGATTCGGACCCATACCTCTCATGCCGATACCTTTAACAACCCTACACACTACCTTGAGTCAGTCATTTCCCAAATGGACATTAGATAATGTTTTCCAGAACATGGGGGAAAAGATCAAAGTAAGACATATGAAGGAAATTTTTCATAATACCCAATTTACAGTGGAGTCTCCTCTTACAGGGTAGGGACACTTCAAAGTCAGCATGTAGCAAAATAAAACTGCATTTAGTTCAAATTGCCCTTGACAGATTGGCAATAGAAGTTAGGATTACACATTTGTCAAAACATTTAATGGTCCACTTCCAACTTACACATTTCACTGTATCTAAATTTTATCTTAAAAAATACCACAAACATTCTAGTGAGTAAAATGCATGCTGAAGTGTTTAGGGGTGATGTGAACTGGTCTCAGCAACTGCCTTTGAAATATATAAGAAAATCAGAGGAACGGATGGGTGGAGAGAGGGATGGGTAAGTGGACAGACATATGATACAGCCAGTGAAGTTAAACGTTAATGGTAGAATCTCAGTGGTTGATGTATGGATGGTCTCTGTACAGTTCTTTTGATTTCCCTGTTTGAAGAAAATATTTTAATATAATGTTGAGACAAAAAAATCAAACATTTAAATATCTGTTAGGATGTTGCTAGTTTGGAAACTGATATCCTGTCTCTCATTGACCATCATAGCCAGATTTTTTCCAGCATCGAAACCAAAGTTTCTTCAGTTGAGCACCCAATGAACTGGTCTGAGTTCATGGGCCAAGTTATGTGAATTCATATGTATCTTTAAGCACTCAGCATGGTGAACAAGTCATTGTAAGACATGGACACTGGGAGACGAGATCAGCTCTTTAAGTACAGTCATTTAAGTAAAACAGTATTGTCCAGACTATTTAAAGTGCTCTCTCCCACACCTGAAGCATTTTTGTTTATGTAACTAAGCCACAGCAACTTAAATTTGCATTCTAATACAGTGATTTAAAAAATCAATCCACTCTGTTGAATGTTAAAATAACCATTTTCTGCCCTGGCCAGTTTGGCTCAATGGATAGAGCGTCAGCCTGAGGGTCCTGGGTTCCATTCCAGACAAGGACACATATCTAGGTTGCAGGCTCCATCTCCGGCCCAGTCAGGGAGTGTGTGGGAGGCAATCAATTGATGTGTCTCTCTTACTAGTACATTGATGTTTCTCTCAGTCTTCCCCCCTCCCTTCCACTCTCGCTAAAAATCAATGGAAAAATATCTTCGGGTGAGGATTAACAAAAACAAACAAACAAGCCATTTTCTTCTAAGGAAAAATTGATAACAATCGTGGGAAGTTGGTTTCTCTCCTTCAGTCCTAACAGCAAAATGAAAAGTTGGCAATCCTAGATCAATAAATCACTTCATCCGCCACTTGCATGTGGGCAGGGCTCTGTCTGTTTGCTTTGTGGCCCTTTATCTCACCAGTGCTTGGCACAAGTGTCACCCCATAAATAAATATTTGTTGAATTCATTTTACCAGCCTGTGAAATCTAAAGGGTTGGGGAGAAAAAAGCCTGCACCTGGATGCAAGAAGTCCTTACTAAACCTACGGACCGATAGACAGATGGGCCTGCACTAGGGCCCGGCCCCACACAGACGTCCTGTGATCATCTATCTAAGGACACAGTTTCCAAGGCATTCCAACCACAGCCTGGCCAGGATCCTCCCAGTGTAACTCATACTCCACACATTTCACTTGGGACAACTTTCTCTCAAGGAGGGAAAGTATTACTCTTTTATGTGCCTCAAAAGCCAAGTGGACCTTTGTGTTTTGACACCAAAAAAAAGGATCACTTGGGATTTGCATCTCTCTTGGAGGAGGAGGCACAGCAGAGAGGAACCCCAGGACCACCATTGGGGACCATATTTCCCTGCACTCTGGGGTGGCACAGTGGGAAATTCTGCCACTTACTCATGACATCTGGCTTCTCAGCACCTGGGTGCATCTACAAACCCACAACTGTTCCTGCGCCCCTGCTATGTGTCAAGCACTGTACTTTCCATATGTGTAATCACTAATGCTCATAGCCAACTTGTATATAACAGGTGGGTATTAATGCCATCTCCTACTTTACAGATGAGGAAACTAAAATTCAAAGGGATTACAAGACATGTACAAGACCATCCAGTCAAGAGCAGATAAAACCAACAATTAAACTCAATTCCATTAGACTTCCACTCCAATGCCCTTGCCATGACAGCTCCTTGAATTGAATGTCAAAGAGGCAGTGTTGTCCTTAGGGCTATGCTGCAAATGAGAACTAGAATTGAGGCCATTAATGCAAGCTCGCTCTATTACCAGTATGGGTTAGATCGTTCTAGTAGGTATCTCTTGTTCTGCTTCCTTGGTACCTACCTGGTGGTAACAGCTTGATTTTTCTTGGGAACTTCCCCTCCCTCAGCTGTTTGTTTGATTTGGATGTCACTGCTCACAATCCCCAGCTTGAGGAACAGACACATAACCTAGGCCAGTCTGTTGAGAGTACAGTATTCCCCTGCTCACTATGTGATTCAGAGTGAAAAGGTGACCCAAGTTGATCCATAAGTATTAGTTAGCTTTTGCTACATAACAAACATCCCAAACCTTGAAGGCTTAAATAACAAACATTTATTATTTTTCACAATTCTGTGGGTAGGCAGGGTGGTTCTTCTGCTCTAGGCCAGCTCAGTTGATCGCAGTGGTCTCTTGGTGGCTTGCCTGGAGCTGAGTGGTCTAGGATGGCCTTCTCAGTGTCCAGTGGTTGGTAGACTGGTTTGTCTAAGGACATGTGGAACAGCATGTTTCTGATCCGTGTAATTTTTCATCCTCTGGTAGGCTATTCCAAGCTTGTTGCTGTGGGAGCAGCATTCAAAGAAATCCAGAGCAAAGACTGAAAAGCAGATTGAGACTTAGGCTTGGAACTCATATACTGTCGCTTTTACTACATTCCATTGGTCAACACAAGTACAAGATCATCCAGCAATAAATTCCACCTCTTGGTGAAAGGAGCTGCAAAGAATTTGAGGCCATTTGCAATTTACTCTAGAGTTAATTTTCACTGGGAAATTGAGAAAGAGAAGTCCTTTTTTTTGAGAGAAGTCCTTTTTCTATCAGAGTTGCTGATCCATTAGGCTGTAAGCCCTGAGATGCTGGCAGGCAGCTTTGCCAATACAGGGGAAAGGCCTGTTGGAGAGGAAAGGACTACCAAGACTAGAGATAGAAACTGCTGATGGTTTCATTTGAGCTCCACTCATGCCTATATTTAAGTTGGTTTGAGTCTCTCCTCTGAGATTGGAAGTGAGAGAAAGGAGGGTTTCTTTCCTTCTGAATACCTTCCTCAGACTCCCAAAGCATCTCATAGCCCACTTCTTAAATGGTGGCAATAGCTGTCCTCCATAATTGAATGCTGTCATTCTCAGTCAGTGTGAGACACTATAACAGAGTATCATAGATTGGGTGACTTATAAACAACAAAAATTTCCCTCTCACAGTTCTGGAGACTGGAAAATGCAAGGTCAAGACACCAGCAGATTCAGTGTCTGGTGAGAGCCCACTTCCTGGCTCAGAGACAGCTGTCTTCACTGTGTCCTCACATGGCAGAGGGGCAAGGGAGCTCTCCTGGGGTCCCCTTTTATAAAGAACCCCATCCCATTAGGTGAGGGGCCCCCCCCCTCCATGCCTTAATCACCTCTCAAAAGACCCCCCATCTCCTAATATTTTCACCTGGAGTTTCGGATTTCAACATATAAATTGGGGGGTACACAGACATGCAGCTTGAATTCCACTTGAGCTCATCGCCTAACTTTTGGTATCTTTCTACTGAAATAAATGATTTCCATGGAGATGGGACGGACAGGCTGGTAAAGAAGACAGGTGTGCTGAGTTTCACACAAGTGTTTTGATTTTGATTTCAACAGAGACAGGGTAAAGTCTGCAGGGATTTTTCAGAAAAAGATGTCAGGAATATGGTAACATACTAATTTAATGATGAGCAGGCACCTAGAAAAGGTGCCTAGTTTTGAAGACTGGTCACTTTTTGGTGGTATCTGAATCTCTCCATAGCATCCAAATCTCTACCATTTATGGTTTCCCTGTTAGGGTCAAATAGAGAAGCCATCCTCTGTAGTTTATGTGAATGCAATCATAGTATGTGCAGGAAGAGGTAGGAACAAAAATGGAGAGAGAGAGAGAGAGAGAGAGAGAGAGAGAGAGAGAGAGAGAGAGAGAGAGAGGGAGGGAGAGGGAGAAATGTGTCACCATGTAAACATTGTGGGGGACCTACCCAACTACCTACTGTTTTTGTCTATGAGCACAACCTTTTGGTGGGCATAAGATGGAAACTGTATATCTGCTCTTGTTCCCTCACGCCATCCCAGTTCCCACCTGCTGGGTGCAATCAGTATTAAAGATGGCTATTTCCCTTCAACATGGTCCTAAGAAACACCTTCCTATAGAGCTCAACTAGAGAAACACAGTGATGGGTTCCAGCCCTGGAAAAAAAACCTACTAGGTATAGGGAGTTTCTGGGAAACAGCACAATGCTGTGTTGTCTAGGCCCGGAGTTTAAGAAATGGTTTCACCTGGAGAGTAGCATACGAAGTGAAATAAGTCAGTCAGAAAAAGACAAGTATCACATGATCTCACTCATATGTGGAATATAATTAACAAAATAAACTGATGAACAGAGTGGCTCCAGAGACATGGAAGCATGAAACAGAGTGCAGAATCTCGGAGTGAATGGGGGGGGGGGGGAGGGGAGGGGGGCAGTTCGTGGCAGAGGGGGGTCAACCAAAGACTTTGAATGCATATATGCGTAACCCGTGGAGGCAGACAATGGGTTGGCGAGGGCCTGGAGTGGGGGTGGGCAGAGGCGGGCTAGAGGGGATCGATGGGGGGAGGGGGGCATATGTAATATATTCAACAATGAAGATTTTAAAAATAAATAAAAAGAAAAAAATTATTTCATAGGAGGAAGTCTTTGTCAATGCATGCTTTTCACCATCCTTACTGACTTCGGAACCTCCCCGATCTCATTTCCACACTGGAAAAGATGGGGAACAGGAACAAGTCACCCACATTCTCTGAAGCCTGCCACTCTCATCCTCTGTAATGTCTTTGTCAATTGTAGCTTTGAAGACCCTCACTGGAGGGTGTGACACCCTTCATTGGACCACTTGAGCCCATCACTAACGAAGATGTGATTTCTAAGACTCCAAAAGCCAGCACTGGCAGTAAACTCAGACTCCTCGCCCTGAAGCTCCTGAGCAGTCTTCCCAAACTGCCTCCCTGGTCCTATCCTGATGGCACCAGAGGGCAGCGTGAAAGGATGCCCCTCTGCCGACTGCGGGGTTCTCCAGCCACATTTCTTTTATACACACAGTGTGTCGAGGGCCACTTCCAGCCGCTGCCCGGAACCTAAGCAGCATCTGGCCATCAGCTTGACAGGATGCTGAGTGGCCTGTGTGTACCTTTCACTGGGACACGGAAGCCCTTCACTTTTCCCCCTTTGTTAAAGGCACACTGGGAAGACAGACGTGACTTTTTATAGCCTCTCCAAAGGTCAGGCTTTCTCCTGTGGCTGGAAGTGGCCCTCGACACACTGTGTGTATAAAAGAAATGGATTATCAGCCTCACCTTTACGTCAGGGCTGTGCTGAGCACATAATCTACCTCCCTTTTCTTCCACAAAGCCACCCGGGGCTCGATTTGATGTGTTTTATTTCTGACCCTGCATGAGGGATCCACCAAAACACCCCATCCTGCAGGAGGCCTTGAACAATGCTCACTTCCTTCTTCACCTGGGATAACCAACCTGGACCATCCGGAATGAAGCAGGTGTTTGATTTGCATGAGTAAAAACACAAGACTCAAACTAGGCACAGCCTGCTGTAACCACAGGGAGGGACCAAGAGTCAGGCATCCATATATGTTCAGAGCTATTTTAATAGAACAGTCCTCATCCTCATTCCACTGTGTGGCTTTTGTTCTCCTGAAAGGTACCTGTGTGGATTACTGATAATTCACTCAACTTTCATTGGTTCAACTCATACTTACTGAACACCTACTCCGTGCCATACTGTTCTAGGTGCTTGGAATATACTCAGTGAACAAAACAGCATCTCAGCCCTCACTGAGCTGGCACCGAAAGCCTTGTCCATTATAGTGGGGCCATAGAATTTATTGCCCAAACTCAGACACTCTTGAGAAGAAAACTGATTGCCGTGGATTATTAAGTCGGACAACAGGCACAGACCAGAACCATCCTGGGCAAACCACAGGGGAGGTGTGCAGCAGCCCAAGGCTTTGCCTGGTAGTGGACACTGCTCAGTAATCAGGTGCTTCTAGAGCAGAAAGAGCAATGTGCTGTGGAGGTAAGCAGTGCTGGGTTTGAGTCTCAGCTCAGAGACTTACTGAGTGTCATCAATTACTCATCCCTTCCGTCTGATGTTCAAGTTTCCTGGTAGTATGGATTACGTGAAGTAACACTTGGAAAGACCTAGCCCACACTTGGCACGTAACGCCGTAGACAGGTTCTGTGACTTTAAGCAAAATGACATACAATGAAACCAGTTTTACTATAGACTAATTGACATAAACAAGAGTTAAACTTCTACAGCATCTTATCAATGTTATAATGAAACGATGTTGGACAAAATGATGCCATTCAAGGACCTGCTGTAGAGGCTTAACAACCATTGGTTTCTCATCCCTCAACTCAATGCCAACACTCTGACCCTCCCCCCACCCACAACACACACATTTACTAGATTTGGAAGCTACCCTTTAATCTAAAGCAATCTACCTGGATTAGCAAAAAACTTACATTGGTTAAATAATTATAAGAAAAGTTTCTACTGGAGCAGCAGAATAAAACCGATGAGAAAATCATAACCATTACTACATTATTGAGTTTACTCTAAGTGCTAAGTAGCTTTTTACATTAACGGTGTTCCTACAATCTCTATGGATCAAGTCATGTTTTACAATCCATTTTAAAGATGAGAATGAGGCCTAGATCAGGGGTCAGCAAATGTTTTCTGTAAGGGCCAGTAAGTAAATATTTTAGGTTTTGCAGGCCACAAGCATACTGTTGCAACTATTCAAGTTTTCAGAGGTAGCATGCAGCAGGAAAGCAGCCAAAATATGTAAATGAAGGGTGAGTTTCAATAAAACTTGACTTAGAACAGCTGGATTTGGCTCCAGAATCTGCTGACTCCTGACCTAGAGAGGTAAAGCCTAGCTCAAGCTCCGCAGGCTAGTGAAGTGGTTTAGCTGGGATCTGAGCTACACCCATACACACAGTTCTGCGTCCTGGTTTACCCCTCACTACAGTCAATGTCAGAGATTTTTCATATCACAACAGAGACACCTCCTTTTTCTTAATGGCTACAGAGCAATCCCTGTTGTGGCTGAACTGTAAGCTGCTTAGCTGGTCCCCTCCTGGCAGGTACTGAAGTCAGTTACAGCAGTTTGCTATTATAAATAATGCTGCAGCAAATACCTGCAAACAAGTCGTTTTGCGCATGTTGAACTGCAGTGTATTTTCAGAATGGCTGCTGGAGTTCCAGCCTTGATATCCATTATCACAGGCTGCATGCAACAGCTGGGGGAAGGCAAGAAAAGCAGCTTCCAGTTGTCTGACCCTTCCCTGAAAATCCCACCTAAGAGCTTCTGTTTATATATCACTGACCCAAACACAGTCCCATGGGCACATCCAGCTGCAGTGGGAGAGAAAAGTCTGAGGGCCTCCCCTGGGATCTTGTGGAAATGAATGGATAAGCACGATGTCCCATGTTACTCCAAGGAGGTGGGAGTGGTCCAAGCTGTCCCTTCTTGCTGTGGCTTTCTTAAGGTTCCCTTCCCTCGGATGGGGATAAAGTCAGGAGGCCAGACTCTCAGCCTTAGCCGTCACCATGGGTATCTTTGTCTCCCTATCTGAAGATGCCCTCTCCCCCTCCCATCTTTCCTCTACTTTAGTCTGTTTTAACTAATGGCATTTCATAGAAAAACTGCAGATTTTTCTTCAGACAAGATCTCTTCCCCTAATAAACACTTAACATTGTTAGCAGCACCCTTCCTTATCACCTTAAGAATAGTGAAATGGGCCCTAACCGGTTTGGCTCAGTGGATAGAGCATCGGCCTGCGGACTCAAGGGTCCCAGATTCGATTCCGGTCAAGGGCATGTACCTTGATTGCGGGCACATCCCCAGTGGGGAGTGTGCAGGAGGCAGCTGATTGATGTTTCTCTCTCATCGATGTTTCTAACTCTCTATCCCTCTACCTTCCTCTCTGTAAAATATCAATAAAATTTATTTTAAAAAAAATAGTGAAATGGGAAATATACTTTATGCCTATATACTTTAACCAATACCAGTGACTTTCCATTTCCTAATTTCACGTACAGTAACTCTTCAAACAGCTCAAACAGGTTCCCGGCTCCTCCTGAATCCTAATTAAATCAGTACAAATGTTGTGGATCTAAAAGGATGGGGGATGGCAATTCCAATGAAAGCCCTCTCTACCTGCCAAGGAAATGGATTTGAAAGCAGTTTGAGGAGGGAAAATTATAGATTTTAAGATTAATTCGATGTGGATGGTGAGGCTGAAGAGAGTCAGAAGGCTGGATTTTGGCCTCTAGTTGACACAGCTGGGTAGATCTTTTAATCCCCAGTGGCTGGCCCTTTATCTGGCATAGGGCAGATGTTAAATAAATTTTGTGAATGAAAAAAACAAACATAAAAAACCTTCTTTCAATACTAATCACTTCCCTTGACATGATTTCCTTATTTCTGTCCTATATTTTTATTATTTTCCTGTTCAGCCTGAAACTTACCACTAACTCATGTTTCCTTCAGGTCCTGTATTAGTCAGGATTCCCGAGAAAAACAGAACCAATGGGGGCTGGAGGTGGTGTGATATAAGGAATTGGCTCACGTGATTACAGAGGCTGACAAGTCTCAAGAAAATCCGTCGGCAAGCTGGAGCCTCAGCAGAGCAGATGGTGGGGGGAGTTCCAAGAGCCAATGTTTCAGTTCATACCTGAAGGCAAAGGACCAACGTCCCAGCTGGGCAGTCAGGCAGGAAAAATCGCCTTTATTTTCAGGAAGGTCAGCCTTTTTA